CCCCCGGGAGTGGGGATGGTGTTGATATACAGAACACATCCCCGTGGCGTATTGGTTGGTTCTTCGGTATCCGGTCATCGTTTACCTGAGAGCCGAAGTTGGGTTCGTTGAACCCGAGCATGTGCGAAGGCTGGTCGAGTGAATCCAAGTTCGCCAAGCGCGTCGAGTCCAAGTCCTTCTCGCCCCATATCATGGGGATGTACTCGCAACCGGACGAGGATTGAGCGATTTTCACTTCCGATGTAATGATAGCCGGGCTCCAGTTGTACCTGCCAGTGACAGGCGATTACGGAAAAGCACGTCAGCTTGCGATCCCCGGCCTGCATTCGAGAGCGCTTCTCAAGTCAGTGCTCGGTACGTATGAGCCGCATGAATCGGGATATTGGTGGACGGCCTTCCACTCAACGTCGTAAGTCCTCCAGAAAGACTGTAATGTATGCACAGGCTCCCACCAGAGTGTTCTACACTGTTTTGATTCACCGACGCAAAGCAAGGGGTGTGTTGATTGAGGATTGATTGCACCTATGTAAATACCCGGAATCTGCACGCTTTCCGACCACTCTTTGAAACTACGTGTATTTATTCATGTAGGGACTGCAGGATGGAATGTCTCCTGCAAACAATCTCGGGTTTGGACTTGCGGTACAGTCACAACAAGGAAGACGAAACACACGCGTGAAACATCGAAAAAACCTCGAACCTTTGTAACCTTTAGATACCTGCGACCTAACAACAGAAAACCGTTCCATGTGTGAGCTACTGCCGTAGCACCGATTGCACACCCCAGACCATTAGGATCAGCTCACCACCACGACATGCCGGGAGCTAGTGCGTCCAAGTCATCGGCATCCTTGAAGTCATAGGACACACCCCTCTTGCCCTGACACTCCGTTGGTTCCGTTGCCACAGGTGACGGGTCACCTGTTTGGAGCGAGCGTTGAAGTTGTTCATTGACGCCAACACCGGAAGGGACGCGTGTCACTGTCTCTTCAAGACCACTCATGTTTTGATTTGAATCCCATTCCAGACTCTTACCGCATAGAGGCGACCAGCAGTCTTCATTCTTGGTTGCACCATCAGTGCTTTTCGGACAATCAGAGTAGTGAGAGAAAGAGACTAGAGACTAACCTCGTCTATCAGTTAGGCAACATAGAGAAAGTCAAACAGACGGGGGGCGGAACACATGACCAACCTACCATTGCCCTTACAGGAAACACCCATCCGCACTGAAGGAGTGAGTACAACATGCAGCAGTGTACCAACAAACTGCGGTCGGACCTTCTCGGACGGACAATTCGAAAGTAGTGAACCCCTGTTCAGAGACAAAGGCAGTCGACTCCATCGCAGCCGCCGCTTTCAGGTAGCACAGAGCTTCGGCGTGGTCGAACACCGCCACGAAGCACTCCAGCCTCTCGCAACACATCTGCCGGACGGATGGCGATAGCATGTAAGGTCGGGCAATCTGACACGAGAATGGAGCACGATGGCTAGTACACAAAATCCTACGAACATGGCTTCCTTTTATTGACACACGCGCCCTTCAAAATATTTATGAACGTACAAGGAGAGCTGCCGGCATCCAGCCAACACTTGGCGATAGAAAGCCCACGCGTCACAGCCTGTATCGCAGGGGCCTTAAACACGTAACAAGGCCAATGAGACAAGGATTCAGCTCAAGCGCAAGTGTAGGAACAATCTTGCAGGGGGACGGACGACCTTGAACTACATATTAGTAATACCCGCACAAACGGTGACGTTCAGTGCCCGCGGAGAAAGAGAGAATGAAGGCCCCGCTTGAAAGCAAGTACAAAAGTTTATTGTGCGGCATCGCCACACAAATGCAAAGCGGTGTGGATTTCTCACAAGTATAAGTTCTAACACGGAAAGATACTTGAGCGCCCAAACACAACGGACGTGTGCGCCCTAGAGATGTATGTACGCGTTGTGAAAAGAGATTTGCATAGAAGTATCAACCTTTGAGGATCGCATGAACGGTCCGTTACGGATTGTACCGTCAAGGGCGGGGAGATGGCACCGGTCGGCGGGTGGCACCGGGGTGACAAACGTGACAAGGCTGCCGAGCACCAAGGCCCGAATGAGTGTGAATCGTGGATCCCGTTGGGCATCGCACCGGTCGGAGGGATCGTGCCGGGGTGCGAAAAAGAAACGAGGAAAAAACGTTCCAAAAAATGATCGCACTGGAGGCATCGCTCCGTCTGATACGGTACAGTGCTCCGGAGTTTACGCGAGTGGCAACCGGGGGGTGAATGCAATAATTGGGCCAGTTTGGGCCTGGATATCGCTCAACCAAGACACGTTCGACGTCTTGCGTGTACACGTTTCTACCCAGCGGTAACGGCTCGCTATACAGAAAAGGAAACTCTGTCGAAGAAAAATGAGAAAATACAGAACGGCTCAACGATCTGCTGTCGCGAGATACGGGTCAGTCAAGTGGTGGATTATATATAATAGGCCGTATCCTACCAAGACAACTTCATTGTGGTTTGTGGATACACAGTTAGCGCCCGCAATTAATAGGAACTATTTTTGTAAGACATAAAAGGCTCATTTTTCCACGAAAAATAAGAAAATAGGGTGAAGAAACATAGCTCAATCTGGGTGACACAGTAGGACATGTCTAAATAAGAAACAGAGGCGACCGCTGCCCTACTACATAAGAAACGAGGGGGTACGGGGAGAGTGTGTCGAATAAGAAACACCACACAGCTCCTTCTATCTTTCGCTCTCCCACTACCCCCCCCCACCAAGTGCGTTATTAGTTATACGACGAGGGGGGAGTGTGTTTTTTTTGCGGCGCCCCCATCGGCCCCCTGCCGGCTCTGGCGCTCTCTGGCGCTCCGGCTCTGGCACAGCACACCAGACAGGCTGCGAACCACGATATGCTGTCTGCTGTACGATTTTGATTGGTGCTCTCCGCCAGCTCTCGTGAGCAGAGAAAATAAGAAATTGCCGATTGACGAAATTCAGCAGGATTTGGCGGCACGAAAATAAGAAACTTGACATCAGAAATTGAACGACATATGCATACGCTGAGTTCATGGGGCCCACAACAAGAATTCGAGGCTCGACCTGAAATAAGAGTTTCTTGATTGCGGGCGCTAACTGTAGTACGAAGTACATAGTTTCAGAGACTACTGCCCCATGGAGACGGGGATAAAAGAAACTGAGTCTCCACGTCTCCACCCGAAAAGTTACCGGTCTTCTCAAATGGATACAACATTTGCGACTTGCTCTCAATATGCAGGCTCGAAGCATTTCTTTTTTTGACACAGACCAAAGAAATTCATCTGTACCCGCTAGTCTAATCCATCAAGTACAAGGGAGCCCCAGTCCTGCAGGATACTACCGGTCGCCCCGGCGGTCTAGTGGGTAACCTCGCAGCCTGCTAAGGGTCAGGTCATGGGTTCGAGTCCCGGCAGAGTGAGTTTTTTTCTCACTAATCAAATCCTGGTCTCCGTTGGAAGCGACGCGTTGCAAAGCTCGTTGTTAGTAAACCATAATCGACTTCGTAAGTCGCGAGGGAAGGGATTGCTGTACCTTTCTAGCGATAAAAATACCTCAGACAGGGACCGCAGGAGGGGGTCCAGCCCCCCCCTCCTATGTGACCCCAATTGGTTCGTCTAGCTAGTTAGCTAGTAGAAGTGGAGGATAAGGGCCAGAGGGGCAGACGACAGAATCCGATGATGAGAAAAAAAAAAGAAGGATACATTCGCGATGCTCTTAGAGTTCAACAATTAAACAATTGCGTTGCTATCTGCAACACAGAACGGCCTGCGGCTCTACGATTCTTCTGATCCGCGCAGAATACATGTAGCATGGTACATACGCATCAGCCACGCGTATGACACGTGTAAGACTTGGCGGTTTTGCTTCTTCTGCCGTTGTTGAGCAATGAACATGGTGCAAAAAAGTTGTGATTTGTGATTTGTTGAACAGAACAAGCATCTCCACATCTCCCACCAACGAGGTTCATAGATCAAGCAATAAATTCAGAGGTACATGCATGCGTACGTCGTGAACTTTGGTGTTATGCAATGGTTAGGTTGAGGACTCAGCAGGGATGTTCGGTGTTCGGTGTGGATATGCATGCAGCAGCAGTACCACATACCGCAGGAGGGGGTCCAGCCCCCCCCTCCTATGTGACCCCGGTTGGGTCGTCTAGCAAGTAGAAGTGGAGGATAGGGGCCAGAGGGGCAGACGACAGCAGATGGGGAAAAAAAAAAAAATACTTGCAGATTCAGCGCAGCAGGGATACAGGCACTCGCGGAAAGGCGCCGCACATTCGCACATACATATGCATACCATGCAGGTGTTCAAATTCTTAGGTTCTTTGAACATAGGTTTTCGTTGAGGTGACGGTATGTACACAAGCTTTGCAAGCGAGCGGCAGGATGGTCAGGTAACCACACAGGCTCGTAGAAGGCTAACACAACCTTGCGCGAATCAACAAAATCTCGTGATCAACAAATAGGATGACGAATGATGTAATGACTGGCACAGAGGGGGGGTAACAAATAATCGTGTGGAAGGGGGCGGAGCGAACCAAATCCAACGGACCGAATCTGTGATTGGATGGCCAGTCCGTTGTGTGCGAAAACGTTTTGCTCGCTACAGACTCAACGGAGGGTGTCCAGCTTCGCACAAGGGCAACCGTGTTAAGATGATGTACATGTGTGTTCATGCCTGTGTGCTGACGGCAGAGAAACGCCGTGCGACACGGCGGCGTTCGCCACGGCTGCAAGGGGCCGAACAAGGGTGGGCGAGTGTCGTGCGTGCTCAACAACACGACAACCAAAACACATTTTTACCTGAACGCAATGATCCTCGTTGAATGCCACGACGCCCTTCCACGTTCCCAGCTCAAACGGTGTCAAGCCCTCATGAGCTTCGTCGCTAATGCCCGTTCCTACGACGGGGATAGAACAGAAGGAGGAGCCCCGGCCGAAAGCGAAAGCGAATACGGAGTCGCAAGTCGCACACCAAAATTATCCGCCTAACGAACGGGGCGGTGTTGAAAATTCGTGCATCATCTGATCCCCATGCCCGGCTTTCTCTTAGCCTGCTGTGCGCGGACTTTGAGCAAAGGCGATCAGCTCGTTCACGCACGCATGGCGCTCACCGTAGTTCGTAGTGGCCTCTCTCTTGACGACGGGACAATCGTAAGCCGAAGCCAGGCGAAGCAGGAGGCCAAGGGCGAGGCCCAGCTTTTTCTCCAGCATGAACATTTTAGTTGATTGCTCTTCTACACGACAGGTCCCTGGACTCGCAGAAGGTATTGAGAGCTCGATGAGGGCATGAACAGCTGCTCGATTCTCCCGCCGCGACCGAGACGTGCCGCGATGAGCAACAGCGTCGATAGAAGTGGCGGTGGTGTAGCAAAGGGAGTAAGAGGGTTACAGGAGGGGTGTGAGGGAAAAGCGAGAAGCGACCAAACGGAAGCGTTTTGAAAAGTTGGAGTTTCATCGGCCCGACCATTTCGAATCCGTTCGCAACATGTAGGATGGATCCCGTCCAAAGATCCGTTGATCCGTTTCGCGCAGTTTGCGACCACTCCAGATGCAGCGGCAGCATACGGCAGTCTATGTAGCCCTCTGCATCTCTCAATACCTATGTATCCAACTTGTGTTGCAACAGCATGGCGCTGACCAGCTGAACCCGCACCACTTGCATAAAGGTAGGTTCAGTGAGGAGTAGGGCACACATTGATGGGCTATAAGTGTAATCTCGTTACAGCAGCAGCAGTGTTTGTTTCCCATGTGACGTCCCGGTAAGGTACGTCAGCTGGATAATATGGAAATTATCTAGTGTGCATAGTGGTTGTGTGATGGCTACCCGAACATTGAGAGAGCGCGAGGAGATAGGAACAGACGAGAGAGACCTACAGCAGTATTTACTGCTTGTAGTATATCCACGGGTGATGTGGCTGACTATAATAATTTCTGAAAGATGTGTAACGGCCACCATGTGGATTTACACGAGGGATTGAAATTCAAGACTGCCGGAGAGCTGGAGAACCATTTCCGAGCAAGAAATGAGGGCGAGCACTGCAGGAGGAACAAGGGGGGTATTTTCCTCTTGTGTGAACCCGAGGGGTGCATCAGCCATGTACGAAAGGAAAGGGTAGACTGGCCACCTGGATAGCTATTTGATGGAACAATAATGTTACCACATTTTACCGGACTAAAACCGGTAACCGGTGCTACCGCACACCGGACAGTCTTTTCGGCATACTCATGACGGCTGTGTGTGTGAGCCGGATAGACAAGGCTAGAGGATACTTTACAGGCGGGTCCTGAGTGAATGCCTCATAATGCTGTACCACTTCCCCAAACTATTGGGTAGAAGCATGTAGTGGTATGACCAACCGCCATCAACAGGGAGGAGCAGAGCAGCGCCATCTCGCCCTTTCTTACGATCCTAGATCCATCCGGAGAGGAGTGCTCCCTCCTTTGGGCAACGACGCATGCACCCCCATCCGTCTTAGATCCAACAAGAAAGAAAGTATGCCCGCGAGTGATGAACATGCCCAACATTCCACGTAGTAGGGGGGTCTCCCGTTTATACCCCAACAAATACGAGTGGCCACTACACACGGCAAGGTTTCGTCAAGTACATAGGGAGTCCAATGATGGGAGAAAAAAAATATAATATGGTGAGGGTACATCATCAATAGGCCATTGACTTCGTCTGGAACAAGAGAGCGTACCCTGCGGCCCGCTCGAATGTTCGCACGGATTTTTCGATCTATTATTGTAGACCCTAACGTTGTAGCTTGGACGTATTAGTCTAGATAACTCGAAATGCAACGTTTCCATCGACCGCTTTGATTATCCTACGCTCAGTAAATGAGAGCGAAAATGTTGCTCTTTTCAAAAAAAGGTGCGTGCGAGCATGCATTCTCTGATGACTCCCCGGGGTGGGAACCATCTTTTTTGTGATTTTTCATGCAAAACACATCAGTCACCGCCGATCATAAGCCACCGCGCGGGTTGGTGTGTTCCCACAATTTATGGATGTGCACAAAACCCAACAACACGGCGTCGAAGGGGAAGTCCCCACACGACGTACCACCTTCCCCCGTATCTAGCCCCACGAACAGCAGTTGTTGTCGAGCTCTTCGCATGCATTAAAAGCCATTCTGGTCTCTGCTCAGTACCTTCAAACAAACAGGACTATCGGCGGTCCAACAGACGAGGACGGACCCCTTCCGTGGCCGAAGGCCAGCTACCGAAAAAGGGTACGACACGTGAAAAGAACAAGCATGTACAGAGGAAAAACATCATCGCAAAGGCGTTACTATTGGTAGAGCACAAAACCGAAAGGATATAGAAAGGCCCTGGTCAGCTAGCAGTCAGACACCAACAGCAGTTTATGAATAAGCACCACACAATGTTGTTTGAACAATACTTGGACTTCAACAAAATTACTTTTAGAAATGGATTTATCTTCACTTTTCGCGTTTGGAGTAGCAGCACGCTGAACAGATGGCTGCAACAATGCGGGCCGCGCGACCGCCAGTGTATTGGATTCCACTCGCAATTGCGACCGGAGGACTTGCACACGCTTCTCGTTTACGAACCACAGACGAGGGAAGGAATCAACTGAACAATCACTGGTGCTCGCTTGATTTACTCGATTCTCGGTAGACATCATGTGCCGGTAACTCTCTAGTTCGTTCGCTATTACCCGCCAGCATCTCCTGCCTTTGTGTCTTGCCAATAATCGACTACCACAGCACCCTCAACCCCGTGTTTGGAGTGATACGATCGGCCTACTGTAGTTTACTTACGAGTCGTAGAGTATAAATTCCGTCAATCAAGTTCAAAATCCTGAGCAATCCGAACGGGTCATCGGGATACAGAAACAGGCCAAGCACACAGCTTCTTGTCCTATGTCCGACCCGGAGTCACTTGCGCTAGTTGCGTCGCCCCCCTTTCCATGTCACACAGCTCTCCCATCCTTTGGTCCCGTGTTCGGGACGGGGAACAGCTTTCCAGGGTTCCTCCCGCTTGGGTCCTCATGCCATCTCGAGGCGGTGTTGGATTACGTTCTTGTCACCCCATCTCCGTCTTTGTTACAAACCTAGGTGTACGAACGGCGGGGGCGCAGATATCGTCGCAAGGTAGAAAGTGGACAGGGAGCATCGACAGAGCTCACTGCCAGGGACGACACCACGCTTGAAAGGCAAGCAACCTACATCGCACGTCGAGGTGGTAAGGATGACAAAGTAACACCAGTGTGGCCAGCATATTTCATTGTCCACCAACGTCGGTCGGCATCTTACTGTTCACTGACCAGAGTACAGCGGGGACAAATACACCGCGTCTCGGCTTCATCCAGCTCGCGGCGCTCCTCGGAGGCTTCGTACCCACCACCTCCTTTCCCGCCCTGTCCTCTTCCTTCTGCTCAACTGGGTTTGCTGATGTCGCGATGGCAGACGCCGGCCATTGCCACGAGCGCGCGTTGTACGCCTGGGCCACGAGCAAAATTTGCCGACAGCGTCCCTCCGGCGTGTCGAGCTTGTAATTCGTGGTCAAGCGCTTTCGCAGCTTCGCTGGATAGGGCGAGGAGCCCGTGAGTATTTTCTCGGGGTTTGCCCCGGCTTGGAGAAGAAACGCGAGGCAGGTAGGGTAAAGCTCGAGGATTGCCGATTGGAGAAGGGTCGGCCCAGTACTGTTATTAGCATGCGGAGACCCACCGGACCGCAAGAGAACCGCCAGGCACCTGTCAAATCCCATGTTGACGGCAAGGCCGATCGGTGTGAGGCCTTGGGTCGATGTGATGTTGGGGTTGGCTCCGGCAGCGATGAGAGAGCGGATCATCTTCAAAAGAAGGGTGGGAGTACGAACAGCAAAGCAAACGGGGGAGCGTGGTCGTTGAGGGAGTACGGAAGCATGTCAACAAAGCTTCATGGATTAGCGGTGCGGCGGTCCTGGGACGTTCGTGTGAAACACTGTGCAGCTCGACCACGGCATAACAATGTCCAGAACACCACGTCTCGTCGTTTGTTGTGGATCACTCGCGAGCAGGCTTTGGACAAGACGCACTTTTTTTTACATCGGACTGAGCTTAGATACCCCGAAACCTCAACCCACCTTCCCCTCGACACACGACCTGGTAACTAATCCAACAGTCAACCATAAGCTCAACAAAAAGTACCTTGGGCTTGTTGGCATGAACTGCTAAAAGAAGAGGAGGGTGTTGCCCATCAGGGTCTGTTGTGTCCGGATCCGCTCCGGCGTCAAGGAGTAACTGAATGATCTTGTCAATCTTGGCATCGTTGTTGTTGTGATAAGCGCCAGCTGTGCGCGGGACACATCAGTGAAATGGCGAGCACGTAGTTCAGTGCTGTGTAGGTGCTGGTTATGGCCGAGCGAGGTGTGTTGCGAACGCGGTGATTGCACATGCGTCTCCCAATATGGCATCGGCTACCACGCGGCAGCAGTGAGGCATGAGTGGTCAAGTTTGGACGTGGTCGTCACACAAAATGTCGTTTTGAATCCAAGCAATTCAGCGGGTGACATTTAATGCACGCACAGAGAATGTTGTGGCCCGTGTAGTCGTTCGCTAGAACGTCGGCACCAGCTTCCAGAAGAGTCTTGACCGCTTCGACCGTCCCCTTCCACGCCGCGAGCTTTAGAGGGGTATACCTGAGAGCGACCAAGAGCGATACCTGTTATTGCTTTGCATGTGGGGGCAAGAGACCCAGTCGATACGAGCTTCGCATTGATCCGTGCTTCGCCGAGAGCAACTCAAGTACGGCGTTTCTTGAATGGCAAATGTTAGTGGCCCCCTCACCCAAGCAATGCGTCCAACGTACAAAACGCCGAAACGCTTTATATCCGTAGTGCAACTGAAATACAAGATCTCGCTCAGCTGCTGTGATTACTCGTCCAGCAGCGTGGCAAGCTCGGGCAGAAGAGACAAACACGCGAGTAGTCCTCTCAATCGCGACCTCACCCCTTGGTGCAGCGAGCGTCTATCTCTGCTCCCGCAGAAATGAGCATCTTGAGCACCGGTTCTCGTGCGTTCCCCCACTACAAGAACAGAAGGCACGGGCAACAATACACCCGGCGGGGGGTGGGTGGGTAAACACACATCGACGGGGGTCATATGGCGTAAGGTCTGCTCGGCATGCTGGTGTATCACTCAGTCCACAAGACAGAACGATTACCGGAGCGTATGACATGTCATGAAATGGATTACAGGTATACAAGACGCACAGACAGGCACATCACCGCTTGACATCGGCACGTCGAAAAGATAACGAACCATTTAACTGCTAATTTACGGCTGTAAAACCGGAGACCAAGGCATACGCTGTCGTGCCCGCCTCTGATTTATTCTGCCTACGTTAATCAAATTGCAACGGACACAGGAACACAGAAACAAAATTGCGAACAAGCACTATTAATTATTCGAATTTAACCAAATCCAAACGGGCCGCACCTGGGCTGCTGTGTGCAATGCGGTATTTCCTTCTACCGTCGTTAGCGTTGGATTGGCCCCGGCATCCAGGAGCTCTTTCATCATCCCCTCCTGCCCTTCCATGGCACAACAGTGAAGAGGCGTATGGCCTGTGTTCGATCCACCATCAACGCTTGCCCCCGCTTGGATCAACGCCCTCACAATGCGCTCCTGTGGATAGAGGGGGGGAGGGTGCAAGTAAGGACAGGACCAATTCGGACCGAATATTCAGTGGTGCTGGTTTTTACTTCCTACGACGCAGCGTGTCTGACCGATATCAGGCCAGACACTTCATTCTTAGAAAAAATATATACAAAGACAACAGAGGACTACCCCGTTCGAGATATAACCACAGTTTAAGGGGATGCGTTGAAGTCTTTACAGTGAGTGGAATCAAAACAGGCTGGATGCTGGCTTCTTCATTGGAAAGATTGCAACGCGAAAAAAAAAACGCTACCAGAACACATCAAGCAACAGCGGTATGGCACCACTTAAGTAGAGATAACATCATATCTTGCTAGGCACACGCAACCACTAAGGCCTTCCTCCAGAAAAAGGACCTCTACGACCTAGGTTCGACGTCGATGGAGGGCCCTTCCCGTAGACCGACGACGGCCTCCTTTACCTCGCATGCTAATCTCAGTCAAGTTGGTCAGAGTATCGCTTGATCCACTCCGCCCTTCCAAGCCTATAAAGCACTTAAGCCAAGCTAAATACCTGGTCGACCAAAGGTGGCAGGTCTAGGCCACCACTCAGGCGACCTTCGATTTTGTCCAAGTAGAGGGCACCCATGGATAGCTTGGTTTTAGTCTGCCAACACTGACGACAGGCTTTCCTCGTCTCGCGAGGACTTCAGAGCTTACCGATGCGCCAGCTCACAAGGGTGATCTCACGTTGTTCGTGTAGGCGGCTGCAGTGAGGGGGGTCATCATCATGCCCATCAATGGCGTCGGGACTTCTTTGTCCGCCCCAGCGGCAAGGAGATGTTGGACGGCGCTCACGCGGCCGTTCGTTGCAGCAACGCCGAGTTCTCGCCCAAGTTCCTCTCTCTTTCGCGAGCTTGGCATCCTCTCCCTCTATCGACTTCAACTGGGCTGCTGCACGACCGTGGTGCCTTCCAATAATGTCGCAGCGTATTCCCTGTTGTTAACGCGCGCGTCATAGCCAGCGCACAAGTTAAATAACTTACACTCGCGGGACAACGAGCTATCAAACCATCAACACTCTTGCCTGCAGAGTGTCGGCCGCCCGCATGCTCATGGCGGTGTGTTCCGTTTGTTGATTTTGCTCGTCGGAAACCCGAAAAATTCGGCGATCAGACAAAGAAGAGTCGACCCCTCGGAGGTGCAGCCTTCAGATCAAGGGCCTACGGCCTAGGATCTGCTGCAGTCCAATCTTGAACAAACACTGCCGTGCCCCGTGGCTCCAGTGAGTGGGTCTGTTGAGGTAGACGGATAGCCTGCTGGTGTATCGTTTTTCAATGATCCCTGATCTTATTATTGTAGGACACAAGCTAGGTCTACTAGTTCGGAAGATTGTAAATGCCTCGGTCAAGGAGAGTTTTCGGATACATTCGACTTCATAACCGCTGTGCGGTAGACGAGCAAGCAATTGCTCGGCTCGAGAAAGATCGTAAAAACAGCGTGCGCGCAAAATCAACAAGTACATGTACTTCGAAGTACATGTACATCGGACATGAATAAAATTATCCAACTCAACATCCACCCCGAACAACTGAGAACATACCACTCTGCCTTTTCGTTCAAGCTTTTTGGCACCTTGTATCAGTTCCCCTCGTCGGAGACTAGCGCAGAGAGGTAAGTCGTGGTGGTTAGCTCCGCTGTGTGCCGCTCTTGGATGCTGGATGGCCTTTGGTCTATGGTATATGACTAAAATAATCAAGCATCCATACAATACAGCAGTCATACACTATAGCCCTTTGGTTGTCTTCGGCCGGGGGGGGGCACGAGTACAAGAAAATGCACCCCCTCCTCGAGGAGGGTAGTCCAAAGATACAGAAGGGGAACGGACGACAGCAAGAGAGCAGGGAGCCGGGGAAATTACTGGCCAGGCTACAAATCGAGAGCCGGTAATAAAAAGAAAAAAAACTCTCCGTAAAAGATACGTGAGGCAACCGAAGAGAGCTGTCGACACACCCTACTACACTTTTCGAGAGAAAAACGACTGAAGGGATAGAACAATGAAGACCTCTATGACCTCTGTCGTTGCGTTGACCTCGGCGTCTTGCGCCGCTGCTTTCGTTGCCCCGTCCGCCTTCACCGGCGGCGTGGTCTCGCAGCAGGCGAAGTCCTCCTCCTCGGCGCTCAGCATGGCCGCCGGCCCCGCGTCTTCGGGAGGGTCCTTCGAGAGTGCTATCGGCGCCCAGCCGCCTCTTGGCTTTTACGACCCGGCGGGACTCTTGAAGAACGCTGACCAGGAACGGTGAGACGGCGATGTGTGTAGAGAGAACGACGTATATCGATGAGCCATCAAACCACTTTCCTGTTTGTTCGGGTTTGTGTGGTGTCCATCGCGAAAAAACATGCACGAACAACAACTCCCAGCACATGCATTCCTTCATCTTGACACACCCGTTGACTGACTTGTGTGTTTCATCACCGAGCAAACATCAGGGCAGGGAAGACGTACAGGCCTGTGCAGCATCTTGAGATACTCCCACTGCTTGTCTCGAGAGGCGTCCTGATACTGCCGTATAACCTTCAAACGCGAAAGCCTGGATATATGAGTCAGTGCCAAAGACAACATTGAAGCATGTTGCTAACGTGGTAAAAACACAACGGCGATGAAGTGCAAGTAATACGTATATGCTTTCGACTCCTAGGCCACCACACACGCTCAGAGATGCGAAAGCATCCTACACCTGTAGCAGCAGGAGTGTGTGCGCAAAACACAAGCAGCCCTTAAAACATGGAGAAAATGATACCGCGCCCGTTGCTTTACGTTAGTCCCGTTGGAATTGGAGTGCGATGGTGAAAGCCTGGTGTTGGCACCGCAGCAGTCACCGCTGCAACCAAGTCAGGAACCACAAGTTGATGATTGTTAAGAGTATGCTACGAGGTGAAATGACTCACACTGCCGAGGTAGTCGTGTGACTTGACCAGATCCGGTGCGAATATCGGTAGAAACCCAAGGTCTCCCTTGACCGTCGCATTAGTTTGACAGCGGCTGTCAATAACAACTCATTTGTGAGCAAACTGTCTTGGATGCGGAACCGCTCACGTCTCACGTGAATCATGTGCGATAGAAAAAAATTCACTGGACTTACCGTCACGGGGCCGTACGGGGCCGTCCATCACAAAACATGCTCCTATATTTGTGTTGATATTCTGCTGTAATTTCGCGAAGAAACTCAAAGTTGTCAACTAAAACACGGAGTACGTTATGCTGGAGAACAATTAAACGAAACCCAAATCATATGCCGTTTCGCGGAGAGTTCACTGCGGCACTCTCGCTCATATATATATATTTATTGTCTCCCATCATTGGACCCTGCCGTCTGCCCCTCTGGCCCCTATCCTCCACTTCTACCAGCTAGACGACCCAACCGGGGTCACGTAGAAGGGGGGAGTCGTATCCCCTCGTGCGGTTCCTGCCTGAGATATTTTATCGCGAGAAGGGTACAGCAATCCCTTCCCTCGTGACAAATGAAGTCGATCAAGTTAACTAACAACGCGCTTTGCGGCGCGTCGCTTTCAACGGAGACCAGGATTTAATTGGCGAGAAAAAACTCACTCTGTCGGGGCTCGAACCCATGACCTGGCCTTTAGCAGGCTGCGAGGCTACCCACTAGACCACCGGGGCGACCGGGGCATTGTACTGTTTTCAAAACCGCAAATGGCCTCTCTGTCTAATCTTTTGTGTACGTTTGGATTCCAGCCGAAGTTGTTTCTAGGCCGGCGGCTCCAATTTCATACTAGTAGTATTTTGTCAGTTGTGCCTATTTGTTACCATTATAATGGATACCTCCATTGCCGGTGCCGTCTGCTTTGCATATGCACTTCTAGAATGTTTATATTCTACGACTTGATATTGGTGGATATTCGCTGTACAGCGGTCGAACCATACCAAAAGTGAAGTCACGGTCCAATCGGGGAGTCCTCTCGCTCAGGCCGCCCGATCACATTTGAAAATTGCCTCTGAACTGAACAATGAACATCCACTTAAAGCACTGAGGAACAGCTTCAGTTCCACGTGACCGTGCAGCACGTCCCTCTCCCGTTCAATGCGACAGTCAAGGGTAGCTAGGGTAGGGCTAACGGTGTTGTGTGTGCAGAGCACGTAGTGATGGAAAGAACTAGGCAAGCAGGTCGATTTTGGGGGGGGGGGGGGGG